TTGTTGTTTCGTCTGTTTGTCTGACGTGGCGTGTTTTTACCGCATTCTTGTTGTCTTTTCATCTTTGACCAAATGAGCTTCACTCTCCTGCCCCACACAACATATAACCAACACCGAATACCTAACCACAGCAATAATCCCGCATCCAGAACACTCTACACTCACCGCATTAAAACACGTCACTAGCACGCTTAATTCACCACACTCTCTCTACACCACCTACAATCCACATCTCACATAACTACACTACCACTGAATTTTTCACCACAACCAAAAGGGAATAAAAGGAGCGGAGAAACAAGTTTTTGGTTTCTTCCATTTTTTGCGATCCGCTGATACAGCCGTGCGATTCCCCCGAGTGCCAACTTTTTATATTGTGCTAACCTCCAAGTTTATAATTTTTACCCGATCATTATATATTAAATTATATTATATTCCTAAAGTTCATTAAAATACATTTGTGAGAAAAGTTAACTTATACTATCTTATATACCTAAAGTTCACTAAAATACATTTGTGAGATTATACCTACAGTTGAATAAAAAAAAACTACATTTTGTGAAAATTTTGACGGAATTGTGTGTTGTCTTCTTGTTTTCTGGTAATTCCTAACGGTGAGTGCGAGGAAAGTAAGCGAAAAAGACAATCTTCTTGTGTTTCTGGAAASATTCTTAGATTGTACTTTTTATATCTTATATCTTTTCTTTTTCTTCCAATTATTTTTAGTTAAATTTTTTTCTTTTTCGTATAAATTCATTTTTTTTTTGCCATATAAATTAATTTTTTTTTTTTGATATAATAATATACTTCAAAAGTGTTTAATAATATAACTTAATTAAAAGTGTAGAATAGAAAGAAAAAATTTCCTTAGGGTCCTTCTGTCGTCGTTGTTGTTGTGGCCTTACCCCTTATCCAGGAATATGCTGCCTATATCTAGTGGGGTGAAAGCAGAACTTGGCAAATGTTTCTTGTGCCATCTGTGAAAGCATCTTCCCTGCTCGTCTCTGCTGTCCTTCCTTATATTTCTGACAAGACTCACACTGGCGTACGTACTGGCTAATGTCACAGTACATTCCTGGCCAGTAATATCGGTTGGCGACTCGGGCTACCGTCCGGCGTATGCCCATGTGTCCGTCGCTAGGTATATCGTGATTCCTTTGTAGCACTCTTATCCGGAGGGGTTTAGGCACACATAGCTTCCAGGGTACAGCTTCTTCATCTTGGGATCGACACGGAATGTGGCGATAAAGTTGGCCATCTTTTTCCATGTAATCCGCGTACTTTTCGAGGTTTGCGCGTACTTTCTCTACTCGCTTTCGCCACCATTTACATTGTGGAGTCATCGTTGTCGCCTGTCTTATGGTCTCTAGCGGCTGTCGGGATAGTGCGTCTGCTACTTGGTTAAGTTTGCCTTTGGGATACTCGATGTCGAAGGTGTGCTGCTGTAATTCTAAAACCCATCGTGCTATATGACCGGAAGGATGGAATTCAGCCACTTCAGTGACATATGATCGGTTATCACCTTGAATCGATATCCCTCTAGATAGGGTCTCATTTTCCAAATTCCCCAGACAATGGTGAGGCACTCCTTTTCGGTAGCTGAATAGTTTTTCTCTGCATCGTTTAATTTTCGGCTGGCGTAGGCTATTACGCGTTCGCCTCCTTCAAGGTTCTGTGTGAGCACAGCACCCAGACCGTTGTTGCTAGCGTCCGTCTGTAAAATGAATGTCTGGCTGAAATCCGGACATGCTATTACGGGAGCCTCCGTTAACTTCTGCTTGATGCTTTCAAATGCCGATTGTTGCTCAGATCCCCATTTCCAATGTTTCCCTTTCTTCAATAGAGCTGTGAGCGGCTGAGTCGTGGTTGCGAAGTCGGGTAGAAAGCGGCGATACCAGAAGGCTATCCCAAGTTATTGACGTACTTCTTTCACGTTAGTTGAGGGCTTCAGCTTCTGGATTGCTGCAACTTTCTCGGGATCGGTGTATGTGACCTAAGTATCGGAGTTCTCTCTCGAAAAATTCGCACTTTTCAGGGTTAATTCGAAGGTTGTTCTGCTGTAGTCTCTTCAGTACCTTTCGTAAATTTTGTATATGCTCCTCGAATGTAGAGCCTATGACGATTATGTCGTCGAAGTAAGCGAAGGCGTGTGGTTCCATTTCAGGGCCTATGACCTGGTCGAGTATTCTTTGGAACGTTGCTGGTGCCGAATGTAAGCCGAATGGCATGACGCGCCATTGAAATAGGCCACGCCCAGCTACGGTAAAGGCTGTATATGGGCGGCTGCCTTGCTCCAAAGGTATCTGCAAGTAGCCGTTCTTAAGGTCCAGACTACTAATGTACTTTGCTCTTCGCAATTTGTCAAGCATGTGCTGTATCCTAGGTAAGGGGTATGCGTCGGGTACGGATCGGGCGTTGAGTTGCCGATAATCCACGCATAAACGCCACTTACCGTTCTTTTTCCGAGCCAATACAATCGGCGTGCTGTGTGGGCTGTGAGACGGCTCGATACATCCCTTTGACAGCAGCTCGTCGATCTCGGCGTTTATAATGGCCTGCATCGCCGGGTTCCTTGGAAAATATCGTTGCTTGATAGCAGGCATGTGTCTGGCGTAGTAGGGATCACGTTGTTTACTGCTTCTGATGATAGGGTGCGGGAGGCTGTTGATTGATGAACATCTGACGGTTTCAGCACGACCTGGTGACCTCCGCAGGATACTATAGCTCCCGTGCTCCCCAGCGTATCCAATCCGAGTATGACGCCATCAATCCCTCCGGGCATCACGTATAACACTGCCTTTAGCGATGTCTGTCCGAGTTGAATGTTGGTTTCCACGGCGTCGAAAATCTTGCCGGTGATGCCATCGGCCATCTGTATTTCGATAGCTACGGTCACCTTCTTACCATTCCTGGTTGCGTCCATACGTTCTGCAACTCGTGGTGATATGAAACTTTGCGAGGCGCCAGTGTCAATGACGGCTTCCACCGGTTCTCCGCCAAGCGTGATTAGGGTGTGTAGCCAGTCACGCTCCTGATGCATAATTACTGGTCTTTTCGAAACCCTTGGTCGTTTTCCTGTTGCTGATGACAACACTCTTTCGTTAGCACGTCCGTTCGACCACACTCCCTGCAAAATAGCTTCCTGGGATTACGACATCTCCTAGCATGGTGTCCTTCCTGGCCACATCTCAAGCATATATTTCCCGGCATAAAGGCTCTGCTCGTAGATGGTTGCTGACGATGCGCATCGACCGTAGTGTTATGTTGGGGAGACGCGTGCTGTTGTGGTGGACGTAGTAACGGCTTACTTGCATTTCTCACCTCGTGGTCATCTATGATGTGTCTCGTCATCTCACGTCTAGGTGGTTCTACTCCTCGTCGTTGTCCTTCATATATACCTTCGTACTCCTCTGCTAGTGTGATGAGTTCGGCTAGAGTCTCGAAGTCTCGCCGCCGAATGTAGAGCAGATAATCGGTGTGACTGTTTCGAAAAATTCTCTCCAGTCGCTCCTCCGGATTATAGCCAGCGCGTCGCTTTAAGTTCTGCATAGCCAGAACGTAGTCCTTGTATTTTTCTCGTACGTGTTGTCTTCGTTGCAGTATGTTATCTTCCAGGCGTTCGAAGTAACGTGCTGGTAAGAAGAAACGCAGAAAGTCCTTTTTGAAAGTGGWCCAACTCTTCCAATGTTCGTTATTGTTGCGATACCATTGGAGAGCGTTACCGCACAGTAATTCGGGCATGGTTCTCGGAAGGATGTCAACGTTTATCATGTAGACTTCGGAGAGCTCTTCCAATCGCTCAACGAACGCTAATGGATCTCGCCCACCGTCGTATTTCACGGACCACTTCCTCACCTGGTCGATGATAGGTGCGAATGTGACCATGTGGTTCTGTTGAAGTACCCTGCTCATTGGTGGCGGCTGTAGCCGTGATGATTACGCGAAAGTGCTCGCGGTCCCTCTGTCTTGCTCTGGTGGGAATGTTGTCTTCTGATCGCCTTCGTCTCGTGAAGCGATCTCACTTGCTTTGTATGTAGCTTCCATTTTTAAAAATGTTTCCCCTATTTCGGGGTCTTCGTGCGCCTTGGCTGCCAATATAGTTATGCGCTTACGAATCTCCCGCGTTATGCCTATTTGGTCAACTCCCAGACTCTGCGCGAAGGAGATTAGTTGCTCCTTGGACACATTGTCAAACCACATGAGATCTGCCATTTCTTTATTAAACGATTTACTGATGTTACACGATCCGCAGGGTCCCTGCTCGGGCGTCAATTGTAACGAAGCTTTTTGCTGCCCCTGCTTCTTACAAGTATAAATTTCTGAGGTATACTCGCCGTGTCCAGGGTTCGTTAAAATGAATTTGTAAATACTGGGGCTCTTCTGCGAATCGTACTTTATTTATTTTAACTTATATATTTTAGTTAAAGTTACCAAATTATCCCCTGCGTTTTACTGTCGTCGCCCGAGGAGAGTGCTGTCAGGGTAACGGTTCCGTGTGGTCCGTTAGGACAATTGCTGTCCTATACCACGGCAATCACGCTCGCCTGCTTCTACCGGCGCTCGCGCGGGATTCGCTGACGATATCCTGCGACGTGCGTTGACGTTCCCGTGCTACGACGACTGCGCCCGACTATCTCTGCCGGCGCTCCTGTATGCTTTGATGACGATATCCTGGCGTATACGTAGACCCTCGCGTGCTACGACGACTACGCCTGGCTACTTCTGCCGGCGCTCGTGTAGGCTTTAATGATGCTGTCCACGTTACACTCGCGTATTACTCTGGTGATGTCCTGTTCGACCACCTTTGCCGCGTAAAGATACCGGATCACGGAAGACTGCATCAGCGATCGCGATGTTAAAGGTTGAGTTGGTCAGAGGATAAACTCACTACCAAGTTCACCCTTAACAGATGGCGATTACAAGTCAGAGTACCAAGACTAGCTAGAGGATAAACTCACTGCGTAGTCTGATGCTGAACGTGTATACGCTGTCACAGTCCCGTGCTGACTCC